GGCAAGGCCGACCCTCCATTCGCCTCCTCATGCGAGTCAGAACCATCTTCCGCTTCTGCCTTCGCCTCCCTCCCATATATGACACCTCCCGACCGCAAGAGACCGCCTCCATCCAAACCTGCTTCACGCAACCCTCGCCCCCGACTCCAATCTCGTGCACCCTCTCCCTCTTTCGCATGTGATAGCCACAATCGTCTCAACTCCATATAATACCTCTCCCATGATTGGCTTAACCGAGAGCCAGTGTAGTGCTTGTCCCACCCTACATCCTTCAGGCCGATCTGATCTCCTGCATCCTAGCCTGTACATACGAGCAAACCCACATCTTGCTTTTTTGAAATGTGTTATATAATTCATGTGTCAGTCTTATCAATCATTTTAGTCTTATTGTATTATTATGAGTATACATGTCTATTATATGCAATGCATATCATGTTATGTCATATAATTCATGTGAATCATGTGCCTTTGTATCGATCTTATTCATCTTATTCATTATATCACGTGCTTATAACAGTCGTATCTTATATTATATATATGTTGTATAATATCATGTCACTTATGCAATTTATCATGTATGCTAGTGTCATATGCATAAGCAAGCAATGTAAACAACATATGACGTCTGACTACTTGTCGTATTTTTTCTTGTATATAGTCATGTGAGCCAACTCTATAGGAAGAAGTCTCAATCCTTAGTCATGCTGCGAGGAATCAATCTATATCACATATTATAAGTCATTAATCAGGCAGTTTTCATGTAAGAAGTCGTGTCTTCTTGCCCATCGGCGTATCATATTATATCAATCAATCTTCTTATACCTCTCTTTTTATATCACTTAGAATTACACCACTAATCTTATTTAAAAGAAAGTCTGTCGACTCACCCTCATGCACATGATAACATGTTTCTAACCAACTTGAATAAGTCAACAAGATGTTCTTGCTTTTACACACATTTTATATCATAGAAAGCATAATAGTAAATATTATATACAATCCATGAAATTATCATTACATTCATTTGTATGCTTGTATATTCCAAAAATGCATGTTACATTAAATGAATATTGGACATGTTCATATTATATATTCCATTTCTAAATCTAGTACATTGACTCCTGATCATTTTATGTTGAACATTATACTATCCATTTTAATTAAAATGACATACCAGCAAAATCATCTAGTGAAATTTCAATATTAACTAGTCAAAATGAATAGGGTGATAATATCTATTATATATCAAAAGTTATATGGTAGACAATTACTAGAACAAGAGATATTACGTTTTAATCAAGTTTAGGAGATATAGAATCCTATAAATCAAAATCACTAAAAATAAAAATAGGATTCGAGTTACCTACCACAATCAGAGCACTTTTTCATTGGAGTGATAGACTAAAACAACCCAAGACAACTTTCTCTCTCTCCTCTCTCTCTCGCTCTTCTTTTCCCCCTTTCTTTCATCTTTCTCTCCCATCCAAGCATGCAAATGAGGGAGGGATGGCTGGGGTAATGATTTTGATAAAATAGATTGAGACATTTTAATATAAAAAAACAACCATTCTCACCAAGCGTCACGACGCTCAACTGCCTAGCATCTTTGTGCTATCAGAGAATCTTTCAAATTCTCCCAGATTCTCTCCAACTAAGACCTGAAGCTACAACGGTGCCTTTCTAGCGCCACAGCGCGCACCCAATATAAATTACAAAACATTTTTTTTTCTTTCATTTTCCCGAGAGCTCCAATCCAGGGCACTGTTAACCCCGGCGTCGTGGCGCCCACAACAATTTCTAGAAATTTGGAAGTTAGGTTATTACACATTACAGGGTCATTTTATAGATTAACATCGGTATGCAATTAAAAAAAAATTCAAATTCACGTAACTAAGGTTATATCTCATTAATGAGGGATATGTATGGATAAAGTGAGGAAAAATTAAAAGTTTATAAACTTGTCATTGTCAGCCTAATGAAGAAGAAGCTGATTATAATTCCATAGATGAACATGCCAATCAAAATGTTAATTTGAAAAAGTCGTAGAACAGTAAACTTTCGTATGGTAAAACCAAATGCAAATCTTCTAGGAAACAGGTAAGGACCCGATATAAATTACAAATAAAAATCTATAATAGGATAACATCCTAGGCATGCACGTACAAGCTTTTGAAATTCAAAATAAACTGAAATTCAAAATAAACTAAAATTTTAATAAAATTTCAACTTTGGAGCTGATTGTCCTAGTTTACATGGTTTGCTTTTTCAACTATTGTAGCTTAGTACTTGTGTGTCGGTATATTCTCATCGGTAGACAGATATAGGATTTAACATCCTAGCTTTGTAAGAAGATCCATCACACACACATATAAGAGTAGGGCGTAAGAGTCATGAGAGTGGTAGGAAACACTTGAAGATCTCAAGAATTTTTTAGAAATCTTTGAAAAACAACGAGAATTCTCCGCAAAAATCCGCACAAAACTAGGAAAACAGTAGGTAATTTGTATTATTTGATGAAATAGAAACAGAAATACCAAGATACAATTGATCCTCTATTCGAGAGGATGATTAATCTCTCCCAAATCTCTAGACGCCGCCCAAAAACCTTAGAGATCTCAAATTTCAGCCAAATTTTAGATGCCCTAATCCAAAGAAAACAAACTATTTAATGCATGCTATTCAAAAGTATATCTCTAAACAATCCCTATATTCAAATTTCTGTCCTAAATCCCTCAAAAATCCTTCCTAATTCGCTCAGTTGGCTTCTGCGGTCTGATCGCCCCTTTTAGGAGGCGGAAAACTTCCGCTTGTTCCGCTTGTGTCAGTCCATACTGGATCGGCTGGACCGGTCTAATAGAGAGAACAAGATTTTTACATTAAAACTCTGAAAAAGGAAAAAAATCATGAGATCTGGCCCAGTTAAAATGATTCTACTAGTACTTGTAGTCGGTTACAATTGATGTGTAATAGCCCAAACTATTAATTATTGAAATATTGTCTGCTTTGACCTAAGAACCTCATAGTTTTTCCCTATTGGTGTAACTTCCTAGGAGGTTAACCATCCCAGGATTTTTTCAGGATGAGAGCGTGCTTAACAGTGAAGTTTTTTAAATAAAATTTCAACCATTACACCAAACGGAGCCTAAATATTTAATAGTTTAGCTGCTTTAACTCGAGGGGTTTCACATGATGCCCTTCCTCGGGCGACAACTGTCGGAGGGATCGTTGTCGATAGGAGACTGTGGCCGGAAGGATCTTAGTCGGGCAACTGAGATCGAGAGGACTATTGTCGTCAAAGGGACCATAGTCGGTTGTCAATACAGGTCGAAGGGACCTTAGTCCGTCGACAACGGTGGTTGGTGGGATCGTAGTTAGCGGGCGACGGTGGTCGAAGGGCCATAGTCGACAGGCAACGGTATTGGGAGAGACAATAATCGACATACAACAGTGGTTGGAGGGACCGTAGTCAGCGATCGACGATGGTTAAAGGATCCATAGTCGGCAGAAAATGGTGGTCGGAGGGGTCGTAGCTAGCATGCGATGAATGTCGGAGGGATCATGGTCGGTGGGTCGGCGGGTGATAGAGGTCGAAGGGAGCATAATCGATGGGGGATGGAGGTTGGAGGGGTGACGATAGTCGGAGGGACCGTAGTTGGTGGGCAACGATGCTGGAAGGGACCATAGTCGAATGATGAAGGTGGGCATAGGGATCATAGTCGGTGGGCAGAGGTGGTTGAATGGACCATAGTCAACAGATTGGTGGTCGGAGGGATTGTAGTCAGCGAGTGATAGAGGTTGAAGGGACCATAGTTGAATGGCGACGGAGGTTGGAGGGACCATAATCTGCCGGCAATGGTGGTCATAGGGACCATAGTCACCAGGCGGCTGGGGTTGAACAATAGAACGGTGATGGCTGCCAGACGAAGGTCTGATGGCGATGGTCAGGCAGAGGTTTAGCAATGGCAGCTTGGTGGCAAGGGTTCGCTGGCGGTGGTGTCGGGGCAGAGATTTGGAATGCTTCAAGCCTCAGAGCTCTCTTTTGAGGCTCTAGTCTAGGGTCTAAGCCTTCAAAGGTCTAAGGTCCAATCTTCCTCTCATGTGAGAAGAGGGGGTCTATTTATAAATTTTGAGAGTGACATGTTTTGTAAATATGGAGAAGATCCGGGGCAAATTCCGAGTGCTTCATCAAACTTCCCATATTTATTACCTTGATCATGGAGCATTTGTCAAGCATTTAATTAGCTTAATGATGTCAGAATTAAATAATCTTGGGTTTGTTGCATGCTTCTAGTCGAATTACGAAGCATGCTATATTTAGATATCATTTGGTCATCCAATTGATGAACTAAAGCTTTCGAATATGCTTCAGTCCCTTGATTTGGGCTCATTTGGGCTCGGATTGGACCGATTTGGGTGTTTTTTGTTCGTCTCATTTAGACATTCAATTTGAGTATAACTTTGCTGAAATCGGAGTTTGGATGGTCCCAATTTAATTTTAGAAGTTTTAATTCAAATATGCAGCAAGATTCATGCATGATCAAGTGATTTTCTGTTGTGTATCTGTACTAATAGGTTAATGATTAATAACAGTTATCTGTTAGTATCGACAGCTCGCTATTTTACGCGGTGATATTAACAGTTATCTGTTAATATTATTTAAAGATATGTCTCTAAGGTATATTCCCTAAAGTTATGTTATATGAATCAAAGTATTGAGGGTAAAGTAGCCATTGATAGACTTGTTGAAAGTTGCAAAAACAGGATTGTTAATACAAATGTTTGATGTAACTGAGAAAATAGATCAAGAAATGATTATATTAGAGCAACAAGTACAATATTCAAATGCCATAATCGGCTTAATTAATATGCATTTTGTTCTCTTATTGATCATTGAAATAGGAAAGAGCTTCCCTCTTCTCCCTTCTATAGTTCTTATGCTGAAAGTTGCACTTTTCCTATTTTCTCATCTGCCCTTCACAATTTTCTCTGTTATTTTTCAGCTCTGAAATACTCGACGGCAATCCCAGTGGTATTTCTTTCTGCCCTCAAGTATCATGTTTTGCCTGCGAACTGGACAAACTTTTATCGTCCCCTTTGGCTTCTTTCTTGTACATTGAACTCATTGTATTCATTTTACTGGGATATTACCCGAGACTGGGATCTGAGGTAAGCCATTTTTTTCCTTCCTGATAATTATTAGCTGCTTGGTATTAATTCTTCTAACCATCCATTCCTTCTTCTACTACAGCATTTTCTCATCCGTATTCAAGTTCAAGAATCCAAATCTCTTCACCAGCCTTTTATATGGGCGAATGTGGGTATGTTACAAGCTCTTATCTTTTCACTAGAGGCCATTTATGTTCCATTTTTATTTTTATATTTTGATATGGAATAAAACTGATTTAGGCTTCGTTTGGGACGACTTTCTTACTGCTTCGTAAAGCGGCTTTTTAGTAGAAAAATTTTATTTTGTGCTAGAAAACTGCTATAAGAAGAAGTAAGAAAGTTGTCCCAAATGAAGCTTAGTATCTCAAAAATATATTTTTATTTATATTGAATATCCAATAAATTGATTTATGCGGTCTTGGCACCGGTTGCCTGCGCCGACAGCCAGCGAGAAAATGATGGCGACTTGTTTACCGATGGTGGAAGAGAGCGGTGGCGGCGACAATTGATAAAAAACACTTAAAATATCTCAAAATTATTTTGAATTTTATTTAAAATAAAAAAAAATTATAATGTCTTCTGCTTCGCAGGTGTATTACTGGGTACTTAGCAGCAACCTAGTTTTCAGATGCACTTGGACTTACAAGCTCTCAGCTCATCTGCGCCACAACTACCTGACTGTTTTCACTGTGACTGCATTGGAGATATTTCGTCGGTTCCAATGGATATTCTTCCGCGTGGAGAATGAGTGGAACAAAATGACTTCGAAGACAGTTTCAGAGCTTAAAATGGAAGAAATGTTAAATGAAGAGTCCCGACTATTAGGATCTTCCAACCATAATGTCTGAGCAGAACAGCATTTTTTCTTCTTTCAAATGGTTCTCCAGAATTTTGTTAGTTTCCATCAAGCCATTATCCAAAATCCCCCCCATTTTTTTTCATTTTTCATTTTTCATTTTTGTTTTTTGAACAAGCCTTACTTGCATTCATCACAAAATTAGTGGGAATGGTCTATATTTACTTTATATGAAGTTTTTATTTTTGTGTAATATCATTGAAAGTTAAGAGTTAGGCTATCATGATAAACTATGTATTAATATAAAAATACTTTTATGACACTTGTCTTTAATTTCGTACGTTATATATCGTTTTTAAATATAATTAAATTATTAAATAAATAAAATGAAAGTTGAAAGAATAGAGAGCCTAGCACTAGCTCTTGTTCATTACTGAATACAGCAATATATTGGCGCTTTTATAAACTAAGGAGATAGCTACTTCACTTGTGACAAGTGACACAGATTGCCGTTAGTTGCGCTGTGACCTTCCCTCAAGGTAGCAATTGGAGGGCGAATGGCTATCTTGTCGCCAAGTTTGCGGAAGCGCGTTGTTGGGGGTAAATTATTGCGTCCGTTGTTTGGATTTGTCCGGACATCAATTCGGTGTCGCCATGTCACCCAAATATATCGGGACCCAGTGTATTTGGGTGATGTGGCGTCACCGGATTGGATGTCCGGACATCCGGTGACCGGATGCAATAATTCGCCCTTGTTGGGAGGGACTTAAGGAAGTTCGTTGGTTGATCAAGAAAGCTTACAAGGAATACCCAGAGTTTATTGGATTTTATTTGAGAAAATAATTTTTTAGTATAAAAATTTTTAAAAATTAAAACTTGTTGTTTAAAAATTAGTAAAAAAAAGTCATCCTAAATGAAGCAAAAGCCGAAGTTTGTGTGAATACCAAACAATAGTTGCAACTGCAAAATTATTTTATGCTGATACGAACTGTGAGGCAACTTAGAACGGGTTATATTATTTTTTTGTTGTGTATTGCGATTGTGTATTTCTGTATATTGAGTGATATGATATGTTCTTTTTCGGCTCCTGATAGAATAATTTTGCAGAGAATATTCCTTCAAAAAATTTAAAACGAATAGGAGAGTTCAATTTCAAAATGTGTTCATACTTTATTCTAAAAATTCATATTTTTCAGTTTAGTCCAACTCTTTTCCATTCCTAACAAATTTAAACTTTCAAAAAATTCCGCAAAATCTCATCACTTTTCCTTGTAATTAATGAAATTATAAAAACAAACCTCCAACTCCCACTCAATAACTCCTCATTTATTATTCCACCCCCATTTCTTCTCCTCCGCTTTCCAAGCCAAGAGGGCAACGAAAGTGAAAACCGATCTCCCCGTCGCCGGCGAATCCGTCGGGCGATTCGTTCACTTTTCCGGCGAGTAAGCAATGCCGATGATCGCCTTCTTCCTCCTCCTTTTCCTTCCCTCCGTCTCCCCAAATACACCCGGCTCGTCCGGCACCTACTTGGAAGCCCCCAAATTCCCCACCGCTGGCGACTGCCCCTCCACCGACGGCTACTGTAACCCATCTCTAGTCCACATCGCCATTACCCTCGACCTACATTACCTCCGCGGCTCCATCGCTGCCGTCCATTCCATTATCCGCCACACCACCTGTCCTGAAACCCTCTTCTTCCATTTCGTCGCCGATGCATCAGCCGGCGACCTATCCGCTATAATCCGCGACGTTTTTCCCTCCCTCCGCTTCCGCGCCTACCGATTCCGCATCGGCCGCGTACGCCGCCTCATCTCCTCCTCCGTCCGTTCTGCCCTAGAGAATCCCCTTAACTACGCCCGCAACTACCTCGCCGATCTACTAGAACCTTGCGTCCGTCGCGTTGTTTATCTCGATTCCGACCTCATTCTCATTGACGATATCCGGCATCTTTGGGACTCCGCCAACGCGGCCTTCTCCGACGCCCCGAAAGCCACGATAGCCGCGCCGGAGTACTGCCACGCCAACTTCACCCTCTACTTCACCGACGCGTTCTGGAATAGCCGATTTAAACACACTTTCGAGGATCGCCGGCGCCCGCCGTGCTACTTCAACACCGGAGTGATGGCGATCGACTTGGAGCGGTGGCGGAAGATGAACTACGGCCTGCAAATCGAGCGGTGGATGGAGATTCAGAAACGGGTGAGGATCTACGATTTGGGATCCCTCCCGCCTTTTCTTCTCGTGTTCGCCGGTGAGATCGAGGGGCTTAATCACAGATGGAACCAGCACGGGCTTGGCGGCGACAACGTCAAGGGGAGTTGCAGGGGTTTGCATCCGGGGCCAGTATCTATTCTCCATTGGAGCGGGAAGGGGAAGCCTTGGGATCGGTTTGACGCTGGTGAGCCTTGCTTTATTGATTACTTATGGAAGATATACGATCTCCATGCTTCTTCGTCTTCTTCTTCTTTCAGTTCGATCTTTTCTTGGTAGGTTTGTGGGTTTTTAGCATTGGGACATAGGTTTCAATTAAATTTTTTTTTTTAATTAGTCGATTGATTGATTCGTTTGCGCAGAAAAAAAAATCTCATTTCTTGATCAGTCCACCCGTTCTTTTTATCATTTGCTTCTGTATTCTAGAATTCTTTTTTTTTTTGGGGGGGGTTGAAGAAGATAGGTCCTTTGCTTGTATCCAGTAATTTAATGATTTGTTTGAGAGCATTTTGTTTTGTTGACCTGCTTCTTTGTTTGTTTTACAATTCCTAATCTCTACTTTTGATTTTTATTTTATTTTTTGGTAATGATGTGGACCTTAGCCCAATTTAAATTAAAATTAAAAGGAACAATATGCAGACGTATTGAGCCCATCATAGCTTTTTGAGGTATTGTGGATGTTTTTTGTGTGAATTTGTTCAAAGCAATATCTAAACAGAAGAAAGCCAAAAAGGACCATTTTTTTTTGGGACATTTAGGTCATTTAAGTCAAACTCATACACAACGCATATATAAAGACTCGAACCCAAGATCTCTTAGTTGGAAGTCTAAGCTCTCAACCAACAGGCTAAGGTGAGCTGACAAAAAGGACAACTTAAAGTGCGAAGATAAGCTCAGAATAGTAAGTAAACTTTTGCTGGTCGACACTGACATCCTTGTAGGTTGAGCATGAATTCTCATTGTCAAGAGCCCACATAATTATAATTGAAAAGGGTAACAAGAACTTACAATAGCCACCAAAGTGCATTCTTCAAGTAGGAATATACTAATAATTCCTCTCCCAATGCCAAAAACAGAAGCTATCAACCCCAGAGGTACCCTCCAAAGGACATTAGAAAAAACCAGCCAGAATAATTTAGAAATGAACCAATCAACAAGAAGAAGAGCAAAAGCCACAAAACCAAAAGGCAAACAAATACAGGATTGATTAGGTTTGTTGTTATCCCTTGCACCTATATTCTTCCTAGCAATGAAAGTGCTCTTAATTTCAATGTGCTAAGTATCTTTCAGTTTCTACTTTCTATTCCTCAATTTGTAAGCCACCAGTTATTTAATCTTCAAAGGGATTCTAGTTGCAAACATTTGAAAATCTTTAGTCATTCATAGCCCTCCAAATAACATAAAAACCCTCATTGAAGCAATGAGAAGATGAAGCCTTCTCACCGCTGAATGATCACCATAATGGCTCACAGGCAGCACTTGATGTGAAAGTAGGATTAGCCATAAAGAAAGGTGATTTTGGGATTAAGGGCTCGTTTGTTTGTCCATTTTTAATGCTTTTTTTCCTTCTGACAACGGTAAAGTAGAAAAAAAAATATTTGTTTGATAAAATTACTTTTCTTAAGAATTACGTTGTTTTTGGACTGTTTTCAAAAGCTTTCTGATATTAACTTCTTTAAAGAACTTCATTCTCTCAAACAACAGTTTTAAAACAACTTTTTAGGACATGCACAAAATAATCAAACAAAGCTTAAAGGTATTAGGCACATAATTTGCATTTGTCATCAACAACAATACCTTCAATAGACAATTTGCATGGATTGGATAAGCAACACATGACAGTCATGCGAGAAAGGAAAATGGAAACTGTAGGCCAGCATCTGACATGTTTGGTGAGCATTTAATATTGCAGCTTCAAATGAATGCATTGTCAAATTATCACATCGTTTGAATAACTTGTGAAGAAGACAAAATTTGAATGAAAACCATACAAAATATGTGAAGTGGGGTCCAAATACTAATGTTATTGATAGGAAGATTACTTTTGGGCGACAAATGGTTGACATGCATATGTTTTTGAAGGTTTATAGTTGTAGATGATGAAGTAGTTCACATTGACAGTTGACATTGGCCTGCCTGGATAGGTTGATCGTCTTCCCTGTTACTGCAACTTATGATAGGAGGGTTGCACGCTCGATGCCATTTCATCACATCGACATGCACCCATTATTGGCGATCGCCAGGCGGTGGCGGTGGCGATGTATTAGCAATATATTTAGATAAAAAAATAAATAGAATTTGTCCAAACATGAGGAATTTTAAAAATATATTCAAAATGCAGTAGCTGGTGTACTTGGAATACACTGTTTTTTTATATTCTGACAAATATCAATGTTTTTAAAACAAATGAATTTGAAATACTTTACATCTTAAATGTAGCAAACCAAACAGCTCCTAAGTAAGCTCAACCCATATAAAACCTTACAAAATTATAATTCTGATACTAACTAAATCTTTCCAAAGACTTAGAAAAAATGCTACAAAACTTAAATCAAGGAAAAGAGAGATCACAAAACATAGCTTGAAAAATATAAAGGGAAATTTACATACATATCACTTTATAACATCCTATTTACATATCTAACACCTAAAACTTTAATATTACATTCATACCACCCTATATTATTTTAATATCAAATATACCACTTATATTTCTTTCCTACCACTCATATATTTCATTTCTACCACTCATATTTGATATGAAAATGAACTATGGGTGGTATTTATGTAATATTAAAGTTTTAAGTGTTAAATATGTAAATAGAATAGTATTAAGTGGTATGTATGTAAATCTCCCAAATATAAAAGTAAAACTTCAACATGACTATTTTACAACTTTTGATTGTCTCACAAATGCTTGGAATACTTTACAAATGATTTTGGCTTGATATCTTTGTTCATGAAAATGAAATTTCAAGATTTTTATCTCTTCAAAGTGTGGATGTTGTTGGGATTTAAATCTAATTTAAGAAATTTTAGAACTATTAAAAGTTAGTGCAGATATATCAGTTTATTAAAATTAGTATGTGCTATTGCATCAAATGAATATTAAAATTGTAGTAATTGTAATGATTTTCTTACAAATGTGTGAATAAGATCAGGGATAACAAATTTCAACTGGAAAGAGCTTATAGATTAAAAACAAAAAAAAATAAAGCATAAGTTAGTTCTCTAATGAGGCATGTTGTTGTAAGGGAGATGATTAATTGGTTATAATAAATTTTATCTTTTGGGGGATTTAGATGCTTTCCATATAATTCTTATATATTTATAATATTTATTTATATAACATCTAATTTCTTATTAAATTTTTTATAGTGAAATATGTATTTTCATCTCAAGGCAATAAATCATTATATTAGTAAAGATCAAAGTTTACATTTAGCATATGTGAATACATAAGAATTATATAGTATTATGTGTAAATCCCTTTTATCTTTTTATGCACATGAAGAATGAATTAATAGTTAGAACAACAGAGTGAAAGATAGAAAGAGAACTAAATCATAATTGGACAATCTCTTGCTATCTAGTTTAGGCTTTATTTGAAATAATTTTTTTACTGCCTTCTTGAATAATTTTTTAGTGCAATAATTTATTGGAAGCAATAAAAAATGGTGATCAAAAGCTGTCCCAAACAAAATATTAAACCCAATTTGAATGGATTGGTTGAGTTTGACCTTGTGAAGTATTATCTGGCCACATGATTCATATGAGGGTATGCTATACAATATTTTATATTTATAAATATGTGGAATAATTCAAATAAGGATGTCTCTCATGGAAATATAAATGTAAGCTTTTATTCCAACTTAATGAATATATTCTTCTATATGATCAAGTAAATTTAGATAATTCCTCATTCAAGTGACGATCCTCTCCTATGATTGTCTTAGGTTTCGTTTTGGACAACTTTCTTATTGTTTTATGAAACAATTTTCTAGTATAAAATTTTCAAATTAAAAAAAAAAATTGTACTAAGAAACTGTTTCATAAAACAATAAGAAAGTTATCCCAAATAAAATCTTAGCGTTTGGACAACTTCATGAAATTACAATAGTTGTGTCAAACCAACAATATATGATAATGACAGGTGAACTTCCTATTAATACTTGAAAATTGGATGATGCCCCTATTTCATTTTTTGCTATCCCACCATTGCAATACCCATATTTGAGTTTATGTTAATAGTAATAGCACACTCACTATCATTTATAGATAGATAAGATGATGCAAAGATGCTCCTATTGCATTTATGGTGGTCCTACCACCACCACCACAATAGACATGTATGAGCTTTTTATTATTTATGATGGCAACCAAAGTTTCTCTCACTAACATTCATAAACAAGGTAAATATTTTCTTTCTTCTTTTTTTTTTTTCATCAATGACAATGAAAAAAGTATATCAACTGATATTCTTCCATCGACAACTTTCCTATTATGTTGATGATGATAAGAACATTGGCCGCCTAATCTACATTTAAGATCAAAGGACATTTCTCGCATGTGTATTATGTGACATAATAAGCGTGATAGATAAGGTTGTGTTTGCTTTGATGGCTTGCACAAGTAGATTTCGCTACTTTTGTCGGCGGCAGTCGTAAAAAATCTCATTTAGGATGTCATGGCGAGGAGATTTTCTCTTCCTGTCCAATCTTATAGGTAGTGTTAGGATGCGGCATAGACGAAGACGAGCGATATTCTCGAGCTCGGGTGACGCATATACAAGCTTTATAAATCAACTAATTTGAAGTGCGTGAAAATTGTAGGATTTTATGCATTTCAAAATGCTTTAGAATTTACTTTAAATTCATTCCTTTCATTTAAATCAAATGCCAAAATAAATCAGATATATGCAAACAAAGAAAAAATCTCTAATGCTTATAATCAAAGAGGCCCTAAAACTAAGAACAAGGAATCGTTTCACTTCAACCTAGGCTTCCTCTCGAGCTCGTGCGCTTCTCCTCTGGCGGTTAGGGTTCCGGCTTTGGCCCCCGCCGGCGGGGGTTTCCGGTCCTTTTTTTAGGAAAGTTTTTCGTCTCTCTTCTCTGTGTTACTGGGGCTTTTTGTTTTTATTTTCTTCCGGTTTTACCGGTATGGCTCCGATCAAATTGAAAGATCCCG